GCTGTTGTTGATGATGATGTTGCCTGTTGCCTGCTGCTGTCTTTCCCGAATACTATAATCCGGGCCTTTTCAAGGCGAGAGTGAATAGGCACTTCCAGGGCAGATGTACCATCCTAGACTGCATCCCACTTAACATCAGGTGCAATTGTGGTCTGATACCTGCCTTTGCATAAAAATAAATGATGATGATCATTGGCGAGCAGTGCGGCTATCGATTGAACATCGATACTTTCTCGCACCCGCATATCCCTAAACACAAATTGTTATATGGTCGTCGGTGATTAGCGCCCCCCTCCCCCCACTTAGCCCAATCAATCCTGAACAACTCGGTTAATTTGACGATGGTTTTCCAATTAATAGGTTGTTATTGTATCATCGGTTTTGACGCGACTTTGACTAGGTTTTGGGAAGGGTAATGAGAAATTTAGGCTTGGATTACATTATGGAATTAAGTTTAGATTAGAATGAAAGTTGAGTGGGAGAGAATTCCGTGTAGTGTTAAGTTCTCCTTTAGTGCCATATTTTCATCTTCTTTGTCGGGCACTCTTGTCAGAGTCGTGGTTGCGCTGACGAGGTACAGGGTGGGGTGATGTCATCTCCGAGGGTAGCTCTCCTGGCGATGTGCTTCCATTTCTGACGGTTAGAGGCGTCGCGAGTACACTGGACCATGGTGGACTCAGTAGCCTTCGTGATGTGGGTTGGCGATCGACCGCGTGCTCTCCTGACATATTATTTTATGTTTGATAAATATTTAAATAAATAAATAGAAGAAGGGCACAGTTTAAAGTCTCTCATAAATAGATGAATTTCTTGGACAACATAGATTGCTTAATAATCTTGTGTGTTCAAGCAACCAGTTAATTCATCCTCAAAAAAGTGTGGGGATCGAATCCGCGGCCTCAGTTACCTATACGAGTAGGTATTAACCAAATTTAAAACCACTAAGTCATAAGTAAATTGACACGAATTTTCCTAGGAAAATAAAAAAAAAACAATATTTTTGAGTGCTACATAAAAAATGTTTTGTTATGAACAATTTTATGTTCACTTCAATTTAATTTTGACATCGTTCCATGATAAAATCAATTAATGCCATTTTAAATTGAATTGCAATCAATTCCAATAACAGCTAAATACAAAGTGTTTCATTTAAAAATTGAATTGTACAGAAAGTAATGAAAATAATGAAACAAGCTGATCGGTGGCCGTAGGGTTGACAACAGATCTTTGGGCAAAAAGTTAATGGGTTTAAGATCCCGTTGGTGAGTAGTTCATTGATCAATCGAGTGTTGGTGAACGGTTTCAAAATCGAAATTGGGTCAGACTGTGATGAAGCTAAAGAGGATATATGAAATTATTTTTATATGTATATTCATCATCATCGTTTCAGCCATAGGACGTCCACTGCTGAACATAGGCCTCCCCCAGTGATTTCCACAATGGCCGGGTGGTGGCGGGCTGCATCCAGCGCCAATTCCTTCCTGCTATATAACCGAAAAAGGTTTCGGTTATCGGTGATAGATCGTTTCATCCACGGAGACGTGCCCCACCAATGTTTCGTCGAGGAAAGCGCGAGGTGCAGGGAGTTTGATCCGAGTAATCTGAGCGTCATTATTGTAGTGTGCGTGTACTCATGGATAATAAATTAGCGTGTACCGATAACACTCAAAAATTTGCGGAAGAATGGCGGTGCGCGTCTTCGTGGATGAAACGATGTATAAGGTTTCTCTTTAAATAAATATCCTCCAATCAAGTATGGTGGTGGCTGTGGTGATTGTAAAACACAGTAAAATTAAACAGACAAAAGAAACTGCTAGAATAACATAAATGTCTACCTCATCTTGCGAATTACTGAAACCTAAAAAGTGAAATTACAGTAAAAATTTTCATGACGAGAATTAGACAATAAAGACTATCTAATTTCAGTGGCATTTGGAAGGTACAGGCTAAGCTGATCCTGATAATTCAGTAATTTTAGGAGCCGGTTGGTAGATTCTCTAGCCACCTACCAGCATTAGGTACAGGGCAAGTTAATGTCCTGAACTGTTTGAGATGATTCAATTTTTATTTATTGACCTGATAATTCTGGAAGCTGTTGTCTTCTAAACTGGCAACCCTAGACCCAGGTCGTCGCGTGTTTCAATCAGCGAATAGTCCAGCGCTGATTACCGTTAAATATTTAGGTGCAATCCCGTAATGCACTGCCATGGTGTTGCACCGCCACTTGCGTAAAGTGGGGTGTACATAGGCGGATATACGAATATTTTCAGAATGTTCTATGCCTTTTTTACCCGGCTGCGAAAGAAGGAGGGTTAGGTTGGAGTTAAATAGTAGGCAAAACACTTTTTTAACTAGCATTTAATTAACTTGCAGTATTTTTGTTTGCTTATGCCAAAGGATAGTGCCAGGGTCTGGACCAAGTGCTGCCCAGAATCAACCCATAGTGCATTTTGTTCCTCAGACCAATACTAATGTGTAAACCGAAGCGCACTGCAATCTATCCCTGGAGTTAAGAGAAAAAAAGAGTATTGTTTTGAAATGTTTTCATACAAAATATCATCGATGTATACGTACTACGCATAAGATTTCGTAATTTTGGTATTAAATAACACTCGTTATGTTGAACTTAACCATACTGCATCCGTACACCTTACTTTAGTGCGACTTAGACATTCTTTATAAGCGATCTAGCGCTGTTGCAATAGTTTGGTTACTTGACAGAAATCATTATTTCCAAAATGAATCAAGAAGTTTTAGTTCTCTATCCTTGCGAAAAATCAATTTATTGGTGTATTACAATCGATTATTGAAGTTATTGTAAGCTAAAACTTCTTGCTCTATTTTGAAAATAATTAATTTCGGTCAACTAACCAAACTACTGCAACAGCCCTTGATCGCTTATAAATAATGTAGAAGTCGTACTTAAGTAAGGTGTACGGATGTAGTACGGTTAAGTTCAATATAACGAGTGTTATTTAATGCCAAAATCGCGAAATCTTATGCGTAGTAGGTATACATCGATGATATTTTGCATGTAAATAATTCCAAACAAAACTCTTTTTTTCTCTTAACTCCAGGGATAGATTTCAGTGCGCTCCGGTTTACAAATTAGTATTGGCCTGAGGAACAAAATGCACTATAGTTTCATTCTGGGCAGCACTTGGTCCAACTTCCATACATGGATTGGCACTGTCCTTTACGATTACGAATGTAACTACCGTACCTACTATACTGATGATTTATTGCTTAACCACAATATTGGCACTTTCACTGGGTCTTACAATTTAGGCAATAATAATAATAATAATAAATACACTTTATTGCACACCAAACAAATAATATAACAGAAGAAAAGGAACACACAAGGTACAATTAGGCAAGTTGTGCAATGTGGAATCAGTTAGGGCACAGAAACTTCTGGAAGAAGGCAGAACGACGTTCTTAATTGATCAGTTAAATAAAATAAAGTAAATGTAACATTTGAGTTTTCACAAATTATATTGTTTCAGTAAAATATTTATTTAGAAATAAAAATGTGTGAACCAAGCTTTATGATAAATTAATTATCTTTTCTGATCCCATCATTTTCAACTTTTTAATGACTTTTGACTTTTTCAGCGCTTATAGCTGAGCGCCTGAAAGTGATTTTTGAAATGACATCAATTATTTTAATGATATTTCTATTTTTAATCAAGTAATTTATATTGATTAACACGAGTACAAATTTATTGAACCATAATTTAGTTAGAAGCATTAAAAATAAACTTAAAATAATTAGTTTTCAAAACGTAATAAAACTTTTTTGGTTATTTTTTAAACTTTTTTTTAGAAAAAAATATAAATCAAAATGTCATAAGTTGGATAACCAAATGCCCCAGACATAGTTATGTATCAGCAAAAAATCATCTACCTACACTAATTATCTCTATCCTAATTAATAATCAAAGCAAACAATTACACGCAGTTAAACTGCCAAAGTAGTAACAGTACATAATCCACTTAACTAGTTCAAAAGCTAGCACGTTTCCAGTTAACCCGCTCGCCGACAATCACGGCTACAAAAGATCCCACAAAGAAGCCGGGAGAAAGAAAAAAAAGTCAAATCCGTGACACGATTGGTCGATCGATGGGTGACGTCACACGCCCCGCCCCCGGCATTCTCCGCACCTGAGATGAGATAGCCGGAGATCTGTGTAAGTGCGAATAAGACAAAATTATATCGACGGTGTCGCCTTCAACTTTGAAATGACTTAAGTTTTTGACGCTTTCCAATCTAAATTGAATCTTAGTAAGATAAAGATAAGGTTGAAATTAGATTGGATGAAGTTGAGGTTTAAGCTGAGAGAGACATGATAAAGTGGTCAGCTGGAAAAGCTGTTATTGTTTGGTTATGGGTTAACCGATTTGGTTAAATTTGTGTGTTAACAGGCAGATGTCCGGTGTTGTTCTGTCTCGCTCTGACTCATACGGGCCAGGTGAGATGTATAGCCCTTGATTGGCTGCGTATTGATTAGTTTGATTAATTCCAATTGAGTTCATTAACATTTGCGTAATGGGGGATTTGTTCAAAGGCTTCATATTTAAATAAATCCTCGTTTAGCGTTTCAATTTTATGTTATTGTTCAGATAATAGATCACTATTATAATAACACTTTTAAGCAACTTTCAAAAGCAGCTTAGCCAAGTCAAGTTATTCAAAACGTCGACAAAACTGAGCCAAACAACTAATAAACGGTTTACCTCTCTCAAAGCTTCCTAACACCTAGCACAATCGGCCAATCAAACCAAAAAACTATTCAACCATCGCCTCTCAATACGAAGAAACTCAGGGGAAAATGCTAATACGCCGCTTCTTGCTTTTCGCCAAACAAAATCACATTGCGACCCCAAATTTCGCACTTTCAATGGGCAATTTTGCTCACCCCTCTACTAGGCTCCGCCCTTTTCCCTACCCCTGGCATTGTTTGGGCCGCGCGCCAGTCGCGTTCCGAAACGTATTCGAGATGGACGTGCCTGAAGAGCGTTACTATGGCAACCAAACGCCAGACCGTTCCGAAACGAACAGTCCGCGATCCCAAATGAGCAGTCCGAATTCTACATCATCTATTAATGTCACAGATCAAACGTTATCGCTACAGCATCAGCAGAACTTAGAGACTTTGAACAGGATGGGAATGTTTTTTCACGCTCAGCAAATGCATTTGAATCAGAGTTTTGAGTCGGTAAAGTCGAGGTTAGGCTTGACGCAAGTGGCAAGTGTGAGTCAGGGCCCGCGGCATACGATCGACGCGATTTTGGGCCTGAACGGTGGAAGGGTTAACAGAGTGCCGAGTGAGTTCGAGCAGAGAAGAGAAGAGAGGGAATGCGAGCCGGTGCCGGTTTCGCCGGGAGCTGTGGAGAGTGCCGGTGAGTGGTTTATTGTTTTTATCTTAAACTATTGTAGGTAGGTGATAAAGAAGGCTTTAAGAAAGGCGCACGACTCTCCCAAAAGCTTTCTTGAGAAAGACTGTAGTTATTCATTGTTTGTTTTGTATTAAGTTTAAAAGTTAAAAGGATCTGGAGTGTCAATGGCTTTTGATGTTAACTTTTGTTATAAGAGTGATAAAGAGTGTAAAGTAGAATTAAATGCGTAGGTAATCCACGTTCGTTATAAAGTTTTTGTAGTTACTAACATCATGCTCTTAATCCAAAATGAACAATAAATAGAGAAGGAGCTTTACGTTAACATGACTGTAAAAAATTAAACTAGATCTTGTTAAACCTTTTAGTTAGTATTTTTAACCAATTAGCTAATTTAATTAAAAAAAATTGAGTATTTTAAAACATTTTAAAGTGAATATAATTAAACTATCGGACGTTTTAAGACGTGACGTTTTAATTATAAAACCCCAAAAAGGTTTTGCGAGCTTTGGAACTTAAATTTTTTATTTCAAAAATATTAATACCTACTTACTACCACAATTTTCTTTAAATTAAAGTGCCGTAATTTCACAATATACAAACATAAGCGCCCAGCTTCATTAAGCTCATTGTGGAGCTTTCAAAGCGGAGAGGCGTAGCTTTTCTCCCGCCCGCCCCAGTTAGCCGCCCGCCGCACGGCGCCGACGGAAGTGTAGTTTGAGATGACGCGGTTTAGTGAAAAATAATTAAATAGTAAATATTTATATGTACTAAAGTACATAAAAGCTTTTATTTAATTTTGTTTACTAAGAAGCATTTGTTTTTTTTTATCAAGTTTAATTTGTGTATGTAAATATTTTACTTAAAATAACATTATTTGTGATTTTAAAACCACAGTAAAATAAAAAAAGCTAAAAATAATTACCCGGCATAATACCTCTGTAGAATACCTATAATAAAATTAAAACAACAATTTCACCCAGATAGAGTCATGCCAGATGTGTAGACTTAGGATGGATTCGACCAAACAAGAGTAAATAAATCTCAGAATAAATCGTCAGTTTTGACATATATCCTGAAATTGTCAATGTGCTAGTTATACCAGGAGTTATTCTTGGATAAAAGTTTGGTCGAATCCTTAAAGGTGCTTTTAAAGTCTACCATATCACGGGATCGTTAAAGGTATCTAGGAACATCTTATCCAGGTTAAGAATGTCAGTTTTTTATGTAATTGTAAAAAAATAAAAAACTAATAAACAATAAACCGACATAAAACATTGTAGTTCTCGTTCATATAAATTGACTTAAGGCTGATTTTTCAACCTTCGAATAACTTTATAACTAAAAAATAATATTGCTCTATTAACAGTTTCGGTTTTCGAAATATGCCAAACATTTTTTATTTCTTGAGATAAAAGATATCGGACGGTTTAAATACAGCCTTTAATTTATTTAATACATTAACTTGACTCTTCATTAACAAAATAATATTTTAACAACTGTAGACACAAAAATCAATGTTTAATTTTCATCATCATCATCATCATCTTAGCCATAGGACGTCCACTGCAGAACATAGGCCTCCCCCAAACTTTCCATGTTGCCCGGTTGGTAGAGGCCTGCGTCCAGCGCCTTCCTGCTACCTTTATGATGTTAATTATTGTTAACAAAATCGGATAATTGCATTGGTCGCGGTCTTTTTGGCAAGGCAATTTGTTAGCATCAACAAATTATTTCAATTTCGGGAATTTGTTAATTTTGTGGTTTACCTACTTACAATTTTGTTAATTATTACTTAACTAAATTTAATTTATCAATTTAGTTTAATCAAAATACATTTAACGTCTGGCCAGTTCGTCAAAATTATTTTTTCTAATAATTAAACAATTTATAGTAAAAATTAATGCAACATAAAGATAAATTACAATTACGAGATGTATGTAGGTTACTTTTTAAATTCTCCGTAAAAAAAAGAATTTTATGCGCTAAGATATTAAGATTATTATTATATAAGAAGTCGACATAAAGAACACCTAACAGCACCTTTTTTTTGTTTATCTGGGACCATTGAATACCGTTTAAAAAAACTTATTGAAACATAAAATATAGGTTTCTGTAAAGTTCTTCCTTAAGCTATAAATTAAACATAGGATGTGTTTTGCCTGATAAATTTTACATTACCCGTAACTTGGCCCGTGCGAGAAAATAAATTATAAATTCAAAACTTGCTTGTTTTATACACGGCACATTGAAGTAATAGCTTAATATCATGTATTTAGTCAAGTTTTATGCAAAATGGACATAATATCGCGTTAATTACAAACTTGTTACAAAATATATTTATAATTTGTCTTTAAGCTCTGAAAAATTTTTTTTATTAAAAAATAAAAAGATAACAAAGAAGTTGCCCTCAATATTCTTTATGTTATTTAAACCAGGCTAAGTTTTTGTGCCATTCTTAGATATTTTTGTGTTCGTAGCATAATTTTTAGTTGGTTCGCTTCGATTTGCACGATAAAGCGCTTAAAAATACGTATAAAGCTGAAAGTTTTCACGTTATTTAAAAGCGAAAAAGCTCGAGTAAAGTCGCAGCCTCAACTAGTCTCCTATAAATTAATTTCATAAAACCATTAACTAATTTACAACAAAATAACTATGACTTGCGTTTCTACACCGGACGCACGATCGATCGAGGTAATGCTTATTGATCTATAGATCAATGATTAATGCAGAATGATTTCTCAATAGATCATCGGTAGAAAGCTACCGTTGACATGCTGTTTCCGGCGTGTAAGTATTATTATACTAAACAAGTAGCTATTATGTATAATATTGGGTATAAACTGATCTGAAATCGATTATAGATTGTAGTTTTTTATTTTTAGATAATGCTAAAAGTAAGAGGTTTCGAATGGTACATATCCATTATTTGAATTGTTCGTATTAATAAATATGTATTATAAATGCGAAAGTAGCTCTGCCTGTGTCTGTTATCTATACCGATTTAGATAAAAGCTACATCTACTTTACTTAATATTATAGAGAGGAAAAATTTGATTGTTTGTTTGGTTGTATTGAATAAGAACGCCCCTACTATACCGATTTGAAAATTTCTATCGCCATTAAAATCCTACACTTATTTATTTATTTAAGTTTATTTTCCATATAATTGGTACATAAGGCGAACTTAAGGCCATGGGCGTTCTCAGCCAGCTAACCAGTTTACATTATCCCTGAAGAACGTAGGCTATAGAATATTTCCAAGAGGGAATAAGTATTTTCAACGAAGCAGCTAGTTTGATAAGCTACTTGAAGGCTTAAATAAATTGAGCGCCAAACATTGAGTTTTCAGATAGATTCAGGCTATTCTGTAACTTATTTATTAATACCGTTTGATAGAGCACGTGAAGCACTTTCAGGATCAGTAACCAGTTTTTCGATATCTTTTACTCGTATAGTTTAGAAAAAATCTAGTGAGATCACTTATCATTTCCACGTAGTATAACATTGAAGAAAATGTACAGTATTGTAAAATAGTATATTTAACGCCCTAAAAAAAGCAGTCAACAAAAAACCCTAACACACAAAGCTTATTAAAATCGTAGAGTTGAATTAGCGTGATTCGTTGTAAAATTAATTTGGTTAATTATGTAACTGCGTAAGCAATTAACCGCGTCTCGGACTTAGCCTACTTTCGAGATTGGTTACATGATTAGTAAACCCAAACAAAAAATAGTCGAGGTCGGGGACTATTCTGTAAGCGATCGAGATTTTAAAGCTTTTAATATGTGGGATATGATGTTCATCCACAATAAGGAAGCTAGATGTTAGTGCTTCCTTCCGAGCGGGTGTTATGCTTGGGGACCAAGGTCCAATTTACACCATCTTGGTTTGCCTATATATACTTTGGCAGGATATAAAACTCCGTCACCGCGATGCAGGTTTGTATGAGCGGCGGAGTGTGCCATAGTGAAGTAGTAACAGCGCCATCTGTTGGTCATTAGTTTGTAGTAGCGTCGCCACAAATATTACGAACTAGCTTTCCGCCCGCGTGGTATTTTGTCTGTCACAGAAAAACTTTATCGCGGCGTCCCTGTTTCAAAAACCGAGATAAAAACTATTCTGTGTCCTTTCCCGGGACTCAAACTATATCTATGCCAAATTTCATCAAAATCGGTTCAGTGGTTTAGGCGTGAAAGCGAGACAGACAGACAGAGTTATTTTCGCATTTATAATACTAGTATAGAAGTATAGATGGATTTTATTTAATTTTTTTAAGTAAATTATGTTAATTGCCAGGTCCTTTGTTTGCCTCTAGTAATTTAGAGAGGGATGATCCTACAGTGGGGATCATAGCGATGATGATGATCAAACTTTTGTTACTTACATTATAATACGAGTAGGTTAGGTAAACCCATAAAAATGTAAGTGATAAGATATTGAACTCTTCAAGGAGTTATTATTTACTAGCTTTCCGCCCGCGGCTTCGCCCGCGTGGAATTTTGTCTGTCACAGAAAAACTTTATCGCGCGCGTCCCTGTTTCAAAAACCGGGATAAAAACTATCCTATGTTCTTTCCCGGGACTCAAACTATCTCTCTGCCAAATTTCATCAAAATCGGTTGCGAGGTTTAAGCGGGAAAGCGTAACAGACAGACAGACAGACAGACAGACAGACAGACAGACAGACAGACAGACAGAGTTACTTTCGCATTTATAATATTAGTTGGGATACTCTACATTATTTTTACAGCTCACGCCTCCGTCGTCAGTTTTTTTTTTTTTTCAATACTCAAATCTTTATTGCATTTCACAGTGTACATTAGGTCTTAAATATATAATTGGATCACCATGAACCCTGTCGGGCACAACAACAATGGATAATTATTATTATTGTATTAAACTAGATTCTTAAATATTATTAATTAGAATAAATATTAAATTTTTGTATCCAGTGTATTATTATATTATAAGTAATATAATATTACTGTAATATATATTTAATTA